GAGTGCTCATTGCAAGACAGCCTATATTACATGATATAAGCCATAGTCTGTACGGGGTATTAGGTGTAAGATTTAAACAAACAATGTTGAGTAAACGTAAATATGTCGAAACAAGAGAGTAATCTGTCAGCCGTTGTCGCTTTGTTGCGCGCTGGAGTATGCATGAAAGAAATAATTCGGTCGGTAAATGTGTCTGAGAGAACAGTGTATAATATTAAAAAAGGCTTGGGAAAGTGATAAGACGGAGCACCTGCTCATACTGCTAATAAAGCACAGAAATGGCTTACGGAAAATATTTCGTAAATTTGGGAGGAAGAAATTTGGCCCCCAAACAGTCCCGATATCAATCCGTTGGATTATTTTGTATAGGGCGTCGTCCAACGGGATACCAATAGAACCCCTCACACCACACTTAAGTCGCTAAAAGCTAAAATCAAGGCAGTGATGACATCTATGGATCGAAACATTTTAAAACGTGCATACTGCAGTTTCAGGAAGCGTCTAACTGCAGTCGTCGAAAGGGAAGGCAATTTTTTTGAATAAATTTACTTACAACTTCCATATGTTGCGAAAGAAAATAAATCGCACAAAATTCATTGCTAGAATAACTAACTGGTGTATTTTTTCTCAAATATGCCATTAACTGCAAAAATTCGTCACGCACCCTGTAGGTCCATTAAAACGTTAATTTTTAAACTTCCTGAAATTTCTTTAATCTTCTCTTCGAAGTTTATTCCACCTTTCCCTAGGAATTTCCGTCCACCTTACCCTGTAAATTATTTTCCAATTCCTTCCGGAAAGCTATTTCGACTTCCCTTGAAAGCTTCTTCTGGCTTCACTCGAAAGGTTCTTCCGTCTTCTCTCGTTAGTTTTTTCAACTTCCCCGGAACTTCAGGAATGCTTCCAGAGTTTTAGGAAAACTTCAGGAACTTTTCAGAAGTTCAAAAACTTCAGAATAGTTTGGACTTTGAATAGGTTCCGATAAATTAAAGACAGTTTCATTATCTTCTGTTCAAATTCGAGAACCCGGAAAACTCAGGAAAGCCCTGAGAGCTCAAATGAACTTAAGGAAACTTAAATATTTTGAAAACTTCACAAGTCCATGGAACTTCAAAAAAATTTAATGGTTTTCAGGATAGTTCCATTTGTTCCAGGAGAATTGAGTTAAATAAAATCCGAGAAACTCAGGGAATTTCCGAAAACTGCAGTGAAGTTCCGAGAGGTCTATGAAAATTTTGGAAACGTAAGGAATGTTACATGAACATTAGAAAATTGTGAGAACATTTTAAGGGAAGTTCTGTGTTTTTAATCGGCAGTTTCGAGAACTTAAAAAAAATAAAAATTGTGGGGTTTCAGAGAACTTTAATGCTTACGTTCATTCATTAAAAAAAATTAAAGCGGTAAAGAAGATCCAGGGACTTTTAAAGAACATAAGAGATTTTCCGGTAGTTTCATAATAATCAGGGAAGTCTCGAGTACTTCAAGGATGATCAGAGAACTTCAAAACAGCCCCATTAACTTAAGGAAAATTGCAAAAACTTTCATGGAGTTCCGAGAAATTATGGGATATTCCTCGCAATTCCATTGAAGTATTCTTCAAAAATTCGTTGGAACAATCCTACTAATTAAATTTTCTTTGACAAGACATCCTTTGGAAAGATTCCCAATATTATCAATGGAAATGCACTTCCCAACAAACAATTTGAGTTGATCAACAGCTGAATAAGCTATTTGTTTTAGCTGAAAAAGCTTATTTTTGCCTGAATAAGCTCTTATTCAACATTCAATGTGTGTTGAGTTGCTTATTGAATTAATAAAATTATTATTTGATTACCTATTAAAAATTAAACAAATAATAATTTTTCGAGGTCAAATGTATGGGATCCTTAAACCATTATTTGTTTTATTTTTAATGAAACATGAAAAGTGCTCATGATGGGTTATGATTGTGAGTTTGTAAAATTCAAAATAAGTCAACGATTGGAACAATGTTTTTCGATTAATAGATGCCACTATTTTAATGTTTTAACCCAAGTAACATTTAAAGTTTTATGAAGTACTACAAGGCTTCTATAAAACAACATTCATAAAACCCTGGTCAAGATAGCTTTGCCTTTATTACATCCACCAAAACCTCATTAAGACTAGAATCTGTCTAGTTGGCCCACCCTGAAGAAGGTTCTAAAGAGTGCATTATCGAAACATTTCAAGAATGACTTGTTGCAAAAAGGTTATATGACGAATGCATTGAGAACCATTTGAAATCCTTATTAAAAGTACAATAAAAGCCATTTAGCACCAATACTTGTGCCATTTGCCTTTGACGCTTGCTAAGCGTACTAAAAATAAAGCATCAATCAAGATAAGAAGGAATACATAAATATCGTCCGATCTTGGCAAATTCATTGTTCAAAAATGAATCTGTCAAAAATCCTCATAAGTTTAATGCGGCATTTATGAAGATAATTTGCAGACTTAATTGTTTTTATCTGAAGCCATTTTGCTTGATCCTATTCCGTTTAGTTTTATGACGGCATTAATGGTGGCAAAGTTGCCTGGAAAAAGTTAAACGTCAAAATTTGTTTATCTTTCTGATAGTTTTGTTGCGTGATCATTGCAACGATGTTCTACTCCAGCGTTGGATCAACAAGTTGCGTGACATCCTTGATAAGGGCGATTCATCTATTGGAAGCAGTTACTCAGCAAGTGAGTCTACGTAACTTGGAACAGGTGGAAGCTCAATCGTTCAAGAAAAGTTCTTCCGGATGAGTTTCCTGTCAGCAGTTTTCCGCAGTCGCAGTTTGGCACTGATGCTATTCGGATCATCATCGCAACGTTATTACTGGAGAAGGCTGCCATTGACAATATGTTGTGTATTCCCATCAATGTTGAGCGTCTAATTTGACGGCTTCCAGTGCTTCGTAACCGCATTCACTTCGCTCCTCTCAGTCAGCTGCTCTGCTGTTGTTAACCGATTTTGTCGGAGCTGCCCTCCCAGAAAGTTCTGGAATTGGATTCCTTTTCTCTTCCGTCGACAGTATTGCTAGAATTATTACTCGATTATCCTTTGGCATTTCCTTGTGACTCTACGTTTGAATACCCCACTCAATTATGTTTTTCTCTGTCTCTAGGCGGATCCATCTTTTTAGTATTATTTGTAAACAGGGACACTTCATTGACACCAAAACGCATAAATATATGCTTTTTGATCCCGTTTGGAACCGAACGGTTTCATAATTGCTTTTATAATGAACTAGATAATTCTAATCTAGAATTTTTTGCACTGTTAAATGTCAATACAATTCGATAAAGGAAGTTTGATCTATCAGATGGTGGTGTTAGATTCCGTGAATGTGTTTTGATTCTCGAGAAATTTGCGATTAAAGCCATTGTTTACGTTTGGTTGTTCCGCCTATTTCAATTGTTGGTCTAGATTTAATCTAAAAAGATTGCTTATTGCCGTTATAAAACCACAATAAATCAGAGTGAAATCCAAAAGGCTGTTAAATTGTTACTTGGGAAGTCTCTATTTGGTATCTGTTTTCGTTATTTTAGTCACTAAAGTCACTACTATTATATTACATACCCACTACCAGCCTTGGTATTTATATATTATCGATTTTGTATTCGCAATACGAGCTGAAAAGCTACAGTGACCTAGTGAGCACCATAACTCTAGTCGTATGTCAGTATTGTGTATTACATGGTGAACTTAACCGAGATAATAGTTAATACTGCAGTTGGTAATCTCTCGAAAAAAAGTTAATGCCATTAATCCATCCAATGACGTTTGGAGCATAAATTAACCTTTAAAACTGTTATGCTTTCAACAACAAGCCAGATCCTAAAAGAATTACAAATATAGTTGTTAGTTAAATAGAAAAACGATGAATTTTTCATGTCTTCAGCAAAGTTGCATAAAGTCAAATGTTGAACATTTATTTCTTCAAATTGTTAACTCATTTTTTTTTATTGATCAAGTAAGAGGACCTACTCCCTTTTCCCATCCAAAATATTGTAAATCTCCACTAACCTCGAGACAACCGCGAGTATTCGGTCCAGTTCCTTTAACTTTAAATAGAAGACATATAACAAAAATGGTAACTCGGCTCTGTAAAGTTTATTCGATTGAGCCTGTAAAAATAAAGTAGTTATTAAAAAAGTAAGAGAACCACCCACACAGCAAAAGAAAAATCTATTCTCGAAGAAAACCCTCGGAGCTCTGAGCTTCCGCTCATTTGATAATGCAATGCCGTGCTGTAAGCGTTTTGGATGCAGCTCTTCGTTTAAAACCGTGAATAAACTCATGGCTACCAACGAAAACATACGCAACTCAGCATGTTTCTGTTGATCCCTTAGGTGCCGGCGCACAGGTCTACCCATTCTACATATGTAAGACACCGTTGAAGAAATCAAACGAAAAATACCTCCGTCTCCGCATAATATTTCCAATGTCTACTTCGTTGTATCCAGTGGGTTGTCACTCGGTATATCACACAGCCAAGATCGTCTAAAGCACAGGTTTCTCGATCGTCGAATTTTTCCCTCCGCATTCGTTCGTATGTGTATCACTCACATCTTAGTAGCTAACCTATTAGTTGTTGGTAGGTAGGAATCCATCTATTGACACAAAATATTCACAGAGCGCAACTCTGCGGGTTTCCTCCTCCGCACATACTCGGGGGTAGACCCCATCCATAGTCGTCGGTCGGTGTGCGCGCAAAACTGGTTCGAACGAATGTTTGTTTTCGTCACGCGGCCGAGAGGAGAGGATCGCATCTCGTCGTTCGTCACTCGTGCGCGCAAAAAATCCGTAGGCGGGTGCCGCACCATCCGACTTTTGATCTTGCTCTTTCTATCTCTCTGACCGGCAGCAGCGCGCTACTTTCAAACTTGTGGGGTGACCAATTGGTACTAAACTACATTATGTGCATAGAGCTTGAATTCCGACCGTAAAGCAACTATTTGACCGTCATTCTCTTTTTTTTTCCGTTTTGCAGATGATCCGGGTGGAGGACTTCCGCCCGCTATGGAAAAATCGAACAGCTGTAGCGAGAGTAAAACTACGTCAGTGAGTCAATCCAACAGCACAAATTCGACGGCGGAAAATAGCAGCCAGCACCATCAGCATCATCATCAACAACAACATCGGCATCCACCTGCGTCGCAGCAACAGCAACCCACCGCGACATCCAGTGTCTCTTCGTCCACCGCCGCCGCCGCCGCCGCGAGTACGAATTCCTCCGATCTAAAGTACCTGCATAAGAAGTTTAAGCGAATCGCCAGTGCCACCTTAAGCAACGACGACAGTGGCAGTGAATCGAAAAAGTCAGTTACGTCAGAAGCCAAGACGGTAGTGGCAAGTGCAATTGGCGGTACAGGCGCCGTCGTTGTCGTCGCCGCGTGTTTGCCAAATCTAACGACTCCGGCGGTGGTGAACTCCGTTGAGCCTTCCGCTCAACAACAGCAAGTATGTGCCAATAACAACAACAACAACAACAATCAAAAGAAAGAAAGTGATTTGGTCAGCTCGTACGAATCGAGTGCGGTGCGTTTTCGACCAGAACACTCGCGGACTGTGATCGATGGGGAGAACTACGACAGTCGACTCCAATTAACCTTTTCGAGTGGTAGCGAACGGCTACAACTACAACAGCAGCAACAACAACAACACAGTAACGGTGCTTCCTTGAATAGCGCTAACCACATTAGCGGCAGTAGTAGTTTTATTATCAGTAACAACCGTATTCCTGTGAGGAAAGAAGAGAGTGAAGATTCGAAACCATACTATCCCAGTGTAAATAATAACAGTGCTTTCAGTAATAGTATCTATTTCAACGAGAACAACCAATGTACAACCACCGGTGACGACGATCTATCACCAGAGTCGCTGGTGGCGCTTCAGGCCGAGTTGGAGAATCTCAGCCGGGGCAAGGTTACCGTCGTGGGACATTTGAACTTTATTGAAGGGCCAGACCTTACCGTCCCGTCACCGTATGATCCTAGCTCCAACAACAATAACAACAACAGTACTAGTGTTCACTCGCCACATACTCCCACTGTGGTCAGTAGTAGTAGTAATAGTAGTGCAGCAGCAGCATCGGTAAGCAGCAGCAGTACCGTTCCGGGGCGGTATGTGTGTCCGTACTGTCAGCTGAACTGTAACAAACCGTCGGTCCTGCAGAAGCACATCCGGCGGCACACGAACGAGCGACCCTTCCGGTGCGATCCCTGCGGCATTGCATTTAAGACCAAAAGTAACCTGTACAAACACTGTCGGTAAGTTTCACCACTGATTGTCACTTGGTTTTTAGGTTTATTGTATCGATTAGAGAACTAGGGATGTTCGATTATAATTCTTCGATTCAGGGCTGATAGCAGGTATCTTTTTAGTGGCTAGGTCACTATTTTCAAGTCAGTCGCCAAAAAGTAACTTTTTTTTCGACAAGAAGTCACTATAGTCACTATTAATTAAAATTTAGTGTTGAGGGTGAAGAATTTGACCGAAAACTCACATCAAATCACAGCTCGATTTGTTAACAAATTGGTGTTAGAACAGACGCAAACGTTAACTGTCCAATTGAGGTTGAAGGAATCTCTAATATTTTGATTTTTTTTTTCAAAAATAAAAATGAAATCCTATTTTATTGAAATACCAGTGACATGCTGGGAAACAATTTCCGCTAATTTCGCTAAAACTCAAGGTTCTCAATTTTATTCAAGCAAGGGTGATATCATGGGAAACAGATAAAAAAGGTATGCTTCATATATATAACCACAGCCGAAAAATTTACCCGGTATATAACTATCAATAAATTATGAGACATTTGCAGTAGAAGCTGATGGAAACTTTTTGGAGAGGTTGAAAAGAACTTACAAATGAGTTGGAAAAAACTTCAAGGGGACAGTTGGAAGAAACTTCCGGAGGATCCTGACAGTATCTAACGGGAGATAAAAATCCAGGAAAAGTTTGATGATATTTCTGGGGGAAGTCTGAAAGAGCTTTAAGGGCAAATCTGAGGAAACTTTCGGAGAAAGTTTTGAGAAACTTCCAGAGGAAGTTTCCAAACAATTCGCAGGACTTCTGAAAGAAGTCGGAAGGGAGTGTTCAGGAAGAATCTTAAAAATCTTCCGGTATCAGTCAGTTGAAACTTTCGGAGCAAGTCTGGACAAAGCTCCCATATGATGTCCGAAGAAACTTCAGGAAGACTCCAGAAGCACTTCTGGGGATTTCCGGAAGCTACTTTCAGGTGAAGTTGTAGGAATCTTCCGGTGGAGGTCATAAAATGTTTTCTGAGAAAGTTATAAGAACCACCCTTAAAATCTGGAGCTGTGGAAATTTGGAAGAAAGTTCCAGAAAAAAATCCGGAAATTCAGATTAAACAATCAGGAGTTGGCAGATACTTTCACGGGAGGTAAAAATTAACTTTCGGATAGAGAAAACTGTTGCATATAAGATTTAGGGGAATTAAACGAAACTCGAAACATCGCGGTAACTTGTTTGATTTTGAACGAATTAGAACTAATCCAACGCAAAAGAAACACTGATTTGGATTCTGATTTTCACACGTGTTTAAATTATTATGTTTTCGATATTTTTGACGTAGGATTACGTCTTTCGGCAACATATTGGGACCGAAATTAAAAAAAAAAAAACCAAAATCAACCGCGTTACGAAAAGTGGTCAGGTATTGACCACTTATAGCTCTGTCAATAGCTAATGGATTTTAATTCTAAACCAGCCAATCGATTGGATATTTTTCTACGTATCTGCTAAAATGAACACTTTATAAATTTACACAAATATCCAACTATCCAAATATCCAATGGTGAAGGTGATCAAAATTATCACCGATTACCTGCAAAAAGCGCTTTCCCTAACACAGATTTACAGATCAAATTCGATACAATCACCGGTTGCGTTGGTGTCCGGTCGGTCGTCAAGAGCAACAGCAGCAGCACCAACAGTGCTTGCGGCGCGTGGTGGTGAAAATTGTTCTAAAATACACAACGAAAAGCCCACAAGCAGCGAGCTATAGGCAGGCCTGTTGATGACGGGCTTAGAATTGAAGAAGATACGATGAAGGCTATCAGAGACTTTCGGAGACCTGAATCTTCGTCCGAGGTGAAAAGTTTTCTTGGATTAATGAACTTCACCGGACGATTCATTTATCAACGAGCCGAGAAGACAAATCATTTGAGGAATCTTACGAAGGCTGAAAGTTTTCACTGGGGACAAAATGAGGAGAACGAATTCGTTTACTTGAAGTCAGAAGCATTAAGGACCACAACGAAGTTAGGGTTTTTCAGATACAAGGATGAAACAGAACTGCTTCTCTCTCTCTTATTCAGTACAATGAATCAAAAGTTCCGAAGATTACCGGCTGCGCTTCTAAGGCGTTGTCCGAAACAGAAAGAAAATATCCACACACGCAGCGAGAAGCATTTGCCCATGGTCTGGGGTGTTGAAAGGTTTTCTTTTTATTTGCTGAATAAGTAATTCACCGTCAGAACTGATTCAGAAGCAAACCAGTTTATCTTCGGAGATGGATGTAGAACAGGAAAAAGGCAATCTCTCGGGCAGAACCTTGGGCTCTCAGACTTCAATCGTATGACTTTAAAGTCAAACGTGTGCCAGGTGATTCAAATGTTGCGGACGTTTTTTCTCGGTTAAGCTTGCTTTAGCTTGAGCTTGCTTGAGCTTGATTGACCGCCCACGGTTGCTACTCTGTTACTGCCAGATCAACTGTAATTACACAGAGAACCAATAGAGGGCCTGTTCATAAACTACGTAGACAGGTTTTTGGGATTCTTGACCCCCCCCCTCCCCCTGCGTAGACAATTGTCCATACAAAAAATTTATAATTTGTATGAGCCGGGCATGTTTTTCAACCCCCCCCCCCCCCTAAACTGTCTACGTAGTTTATGGACAGCCCCAGACGATGCTTGGGACTAGCAATCATCCTCAATGTGTAAAAACTGGTGATCTTAAATTAGGCAATACCAGCGCCGGCCGCGCCCGAACATAGGTCAAGAAAGGAATGGGAAGGATTGTGTTGACATGACACTCGCTTTGATGGAAGCCGAGAACACCTCTGCACTTCCACGAGGAATCACTGAGATATTGGGTAATAGGGTTGGGTTTGCAGCAGGGTTCGTCTTGGTAAACGATAAGCTGAATTGATGTCCTAACGATCATATAACGCGAAGGAGCTTGGGACTAAACCCACGGTCTTCTGCTCAGTAAGCAAAAACGTTTGGGGCTGTCCATAAACTACGTAGACAGTTTAGAGGGGGGGGGGGGGTGACAATTATCCACGGCCCATACAAATTTTAATTTTTTTGTATGGACAATTGTCTACGCAGGAGGAGGGGGGGGGTCAATAATCCCAAAAAACTGTCTACGTAGTTTATGAACAGGCCCTTTACCACTAGGCAGACGAGCACCTTTTTAATCACCGAGTTGCTGTTATTACCATGTAGTCATATTAACAAATAAAATGATTGACGAATCTTGAATGTGGATGGGCCTGAGATTAGACTCATGATGTTCTGCTCAGTAAGCAAAAACGGTTGCTCTAAGGCCACCGAGCCCCTCATATCACATAATACCGTTGCTCAAATTTGTGTATCCATCCATACCCGGAACCAACGACAACAACGAGCTTCGCAAAATACACGATACACAAGCGATTTTACCATAAATCTCTTTGATATGTAAGGACCTGGGACAGCGGCAGGCCACTGTAACCGACGATCTTTCAAATCCGAAAACTAAAAACTACGAAAAAGTACTTAGGCCTTCATTAAGTTCCACTTTCACGCGACGTTCAATGACAGGGTCTTATCCAGGATTACATCTGAAAAATCCAAATCTGGCCAACGCCCACCTAAACCTGTTCTAATCCACCTGAAATGACTAACGAATGGAAGACTTTGACTACCCAGCCATGCAATAGTCTCATTCCGTGCCTTATGGCAACTTGATGATTCTATTGCGCTCATCTTCTGGCACCACGCAGGGGAGACTTGGTCCTGTACCCATTGCTTAACTTATCTCCATTCCACTCAGCTACTCGCAATTTCTTGTGATATAGTGGGCGGAATATTATTATATGAGACAATTCAATGCAGACGTCTTTCCAAATTTGGCAGATCGACAGGTAATAGGTGAGCTACCACGATAGTTGCTATTCAACAACTCGACAACGTCCCATCGTCAACGCCTGCTATGAAAATTTCCCATTGCATACGTCAACGAAATGACGTCATCGAGCTATCGATCAACTACCCTGGTTATCGCCTGGTACCTTATAGCACGATGCTAGGAGGCGAACCGGAAGAATCGATGAGCTACCTCTCCCCCAAGTTGCGGACGTTCTTTCTCGGTTAATTGCAAAAACACAAACAGATCAACCTTTCTATGAAGATAACGATAGGCATTTGCTGTTTGCACTGGACGCTCGACATTGAATTAGTATTTGAAGCAGATGCAGAGCGTTGGAATCAAGAAGATGGCCAAAGGACCTCCGTCGTTTCAAAGCACATGCTAAGGAGTTGCGGATTTTGGGTCCTAAGATATTCAAAGGAGAGAGACTTATCTGACCGAAATCATTGCGCCCAAAGGCATTGCTGACAGCACACAGAGGACATATAGGATGTGCTGCAATGAAAAGGATTTTGCGGGAATTCTTTTGGTGGCCAGGTTTGAGTGATAACGTTACTGCCTTATAATAACGAAACGACATCCACCAATACCGTTATCAAGCCGCGAGCTACCTGAAGGACCATGGGAAGTGTTGCAAATAGATTTTTTATGCCTTTCCGGTTGTGGTTTTGGTGAATTTTTGACTGTAGTTGATACTTATTCAAGATACTTAACAGCTGTCGAAATGCGATGTACAGACGCGAAAAGTACTAACGCAGCTCTATCCAAGATATTTTTAACTTGGGGTCTACCACTGGTTATAAAGAGCGACAACGGTCCACCTTTTCAGTCATTGAGTTTTGGATTGAGAAAGGAGTAAATATTAGGAAATCTATTCCTTTACGTCCTCAATCAAATGGTTCGATTGAAAGGCGCTGATCAAGGCTGTCGCAGGAACGAAGCTGGATGGAGAAAATTGGAAAAATCCGTTAAATAATTACATTCATGTGTATAACACTATGAAACCACATTCAAGACTCGGAGTCACGCCATTTGAATTACTTGTAGGGTGCCAATACAGGGGTACTTTTCCATGTCTTTGGGGACAGAATAATGGAAAAATAGATGGAGAAGAGATACGAGATAAGGATGCTGAATCAAAGTTAATAAGCAATAAGTTTGCAGACAATGACAGAGAAGCCAAATGTTCAAACATTACTGCCGGTGACAGGGTAATAGTAGCTGTTTCAAGGAAAACGAAACCGGATCCAACATTCTCTAACGAACAATTTATGGTCGTGATGGAGGAAAACTCGTCATCAGGAGTGATCGAGGTGTGCAATAAGCTCGTAGTATACGAGATGTGAAGCTTATTGCGGATTGCGGAAACGACAATAGCGCTGAAGAACTTGAAAAAAAAAAATCAGCAGATGTGTGTTACCAGAAACAATGGAGTCTATGCAAAGACAAGCAGAAGAAATTGACGAGCCTGTTGCGAAACCCATGGATACCAACGTATAGATTGTGAAGAGAATTTGAATCTGTCAAACGATGAAGCCATTGCCAGATGTCCGAATCCCGATGCGTTGAAGGATGTCAGGCCCAAAAGAACAACAATCATACCTAAGAAATATCATGATATGTATTTGTATAACATTTTTGACTAAAAGTAGATTAGAGGAGAGATGTAGTAGATAAGACGAGACATGACGAAATGGAAATAGAAATCTTAGTAGGCTATTTAAAAATAATCGGTAATAAAATTAGTCTTGTAAGAGAGTTTGTAGAGTACGGAAGTAAATTGAAACTCTTCTTAATTCGTTCCCGAAAACCACCGTGTGTGGTGGTGTCCGCTCGGTCGTCATCATCAGCTGCAGCAGCAGCAGCAGTGCTTTTGGCGCGTGGCGTTGAATAGTGTTCTCCAGTACACAACGAAAGGCTGCCCACAAGAAACGAGCTGCTGCCCACATGAGCGTCCATTCACCGAAGAAGGAGGAAGAAGCCTCACCGCTACTGATCGGATTCAGTAGCTCTTCGTGAGTCGCTGTGGGCCATCTATGGCAAGCGCGTAACCCTCGTTCCAAACAACCCTAATAGCTCAGCATTACTCAACCATCACGACAGAACGGTCCTTTTCAGGACCACCATAAATTTAATAAGAGTAGCGCTTTCCCTAACACAGATTTCAAAATAGAATTCTATCCGGTCTCGATGAACGGTGTTTATTCAATCATCGCGTGTGGTGAGTGGTGGTGTCCGGTCGTCATCATCAGCAGCAGCAGCAGCAACAGGCAGTGCTTTCGGCGCGTGGTGTTATACATGTTTCTCCAGTACACAACGAAAGGCTCTCCGCAAGCAGCTAGCTATCAAGGCTGCCCTCAAGAGCCCTCGATTCACCAAAGAAGGAGGAAGAAGCCGAATTTATATGATTGAATTTGGAAAATTTTAGCAAGAAATTTCTCCAATTAATTAACCAAAAATTCCTTGTTATTGTGCACGAAAATGCGTAATTTAGCCATCCGAAAACGAGGCGTTTCTGTGATGAGAAAAAAGTAGTTTCCCTAACACAGTCGTCGAATATTGATACCGAGCACGTAATTCTACGTCAAATCTACGGTCGTGGCTTGGATACAACCTCTTACTTTTATGTTCAAAGAACACATTTCATTTTGTTCTGCGGAATTGATATGCAAAACCTTACTTCCGGAGGAAATTTAAAAAAAAATCCTCGAAGGGTGTCTCAAGAATCTTTCACAGGAAATCTGAAGAAACTTCCTGAGGAAGGAAGTCAGAAGAAATCGGTTGAAATTGTTAAAACAAATCTTGAAAGTCATATGGACTCTTCCTGGGTGTTGGGTGAAACTTCTTGAATAAGTTCTTGAGTTCTTTTCATCGATATTTTCCATACAAAAGGATTACGTGAAACGTGGCCTATAGAAAAAAAAAGTTGAAGGTTATGTCCAAAGCACGACCGCATTGTTGACGTAGAACTACGAGATTATTTTGCAGCTCCATTCAATAATTTATAAATGACAAAGTAAATTGTTTAGAAATTCAATTGAAAATTCGAAACCCTTGATATTTTTCACGGATGTCCCTTGGAACCTTCATTAGAATTTACTTAAAATTATCTTTCTTATTCCCTTAGAACTTTAATACTCTCGGAATTTCTTTCAAGTTCTCATAAGAACTCTCTTTACATTCTTCTCGGAATTTATTTAGAATATTCATTAGAAATTAACCTGTAATCCTTTTTACAATCGCCATGTAATTTCACACAGAACCACCTAATAATTCTACTTTGAACTTAAACAATTGGCTTGGCTTTGTAGTCAAAACTCCATATCAATACTTCCAAAAACTCCATTGGAATTTGTATCTTACATACCTTATTATCTCTAGAATTTATACTAAAATTTCCTCTAAATTCCTTTGGAATTTTTTATCAACATTATCGAGTAAGTTCTTCAAAGTGATTGTATCCGGAAAATCTAGTAGTTGAGAAGAATTATTATTTTCCAAGTATAGAACGAAGTTTATTTTCTCCCGGTTCATCATCGAAATTCACGGACTTCTCCCGGTGATTTAGAATTTTCGGCTTTTTCCCGATTTCCCGGTTCACTGGTCACCCTTGTGTTCAATATACAATTATCCTGGGAGGGAGACCCAGACTCGAAACATATAAACGTCAAAAGAAGCCATTCAAAAGCTGTCAGGAACTGTCATTGGCAGCCAAGTAGTTGGCGATGCTTTTCTTACAATCGGACAAGAATACAGAAGGCGGTATTAAAATCTTGCGTAAAGTAATTTCTGACAAACTGTCGTTTCTAGCTATCTTATTCAATGAGACACCGTTTTTTTTTAGATTAATTCATTGAATATGCCATATGCATACTTAAATCCATATTGGAAGACACCATTAACCAAGGTTTTTGCCAAAATCTTTGGTGGCATGATAAAATACAAAACAGAAAAGGACATTTTCTCACGGCACACTAAACAACGTCAAACAAGCACTACACTGCCGTTATATGCATAAGAGTTCCACGGTGCATAAGGATTGCATAGAACATGGGACAGTTATGTGTATAACAGCAGTACACGCTAAAAGTAAAACAGGCAATATTGCTACGTCTTTTTTGATTCGATTTCAGTAGCTCAAATTTTCATGACTTAAAGAAAAGCTTTAAAATGAATGCCTTGTGTGCTATCTGTGTCTTCCTCCCAGGTCTTATCCATCTGAATAACATTACTAGAGACAGATCTCCTATCTAGTCGAAACACAGAAAACGAAACTAACTCAGAGAGTGAGTAACTTCAGCTCATTCGTAAGGATACATTTCTAAAAGCGTTGGTCACACAGCGCATGAGTAACCTAGGTAAAAGTGACTCACTCTCTGAATAAGATTCGTTTTCAGTGAATGTAGACTGCTTAAGCAACCCTTTTGGATCAAATGCTACTAGCGCTGCATGGTGAGTGAATTCTGAACTAAGAGGCCAATCATGCGATAGGTATTGTCCATCCGAATAACTTCACTTAATGAGAAACCTGCCTTCTGACCGTGCTGTCAAGTTAATTCATGGAATTTGATGCACATTGCACACTGAGCTTGACTATCCAATATCCAATTGATAGCCGAGATGGCAAGATAAATATGAATGACACTGATGAATACTACCACTTTCTGTAGCAAGACAACTGTCGGTAGACTGTGAACTATCCTCGCTGTTCGACTTGATCAAGTATCTAATTGTACTCAACTTGCCCTTTGTATGAAGGGCCAAAAACGGTGCAACATTGCCCACGTGCATCCACGAAATAAAAGAGAATATCCTACCACCAACAGGATCATACAATGGGTAAAAAACAGGTCATCCAACAGGAGCATGCCCCAATGAGTAAAATCGACAATAATTTTACTCAGTATAGGACTTCTGAAGATCTTGATTTTGCGCATATTCAAGAAAGTTTTCCTCGAGAAAAATTTCTAGCAAATCCATTTTTTTTTGCTAAATTGAGTTGAATTCTACTCAATTTTGAGTCGTTCTCATCGTTCGTGTACCTTAAGGCTATTTGAGGCACCAACCAAAATCTACCATGCGTTTCCACCGTAATCCACCAGTTTTATGGAGGCGCTAGGTTATCTATAAGATTAACCGGTTTGGCAGTCTAATTGATTCCAATCTCAAACTAACCATTGCAGATCCCGGGCGCACGCATCCAAAAGCCAAGGCGACGACATTGGACCCACCCTTGACGAGGACGGTTCCCTCGGATCGGACATCGAAGACAAGGAATTGAGCAACAGTGGATCGGACATCGTAAGTTGCGCTCTACTTCCAGCCTCCTCCTCCTCCTCCATATGCAGCATCACATTCGAATTCATCCCCTTCTCTGCCCTTACAGATCAACCGAGGCTCCCCAATGGACGACCGCGTGCATTCGCCCCAGCTACTGGTGGAGAAACCCTACAAACCGAAATTTCACAACGCTGCCCTCTACACCAAGTTCGATGGAAAACTAGCGTCGGGAAGGTATACATCCACGACGGTTGCCAACAACAGCCTCCACCTTCACCACCACCCGCAACACCATATCGGCAGTGGCAACGCAACGATGACCATCGTTAGCCAATCTGCTCCTGCGGCGTCCCATTATTTGGTAAATCCCGCGAAGTTTGGGTTTGCTTATCCGAGGAATAACTAACCAATTTTTTTTCTTTATTTTCCAGAACGGTCAGAATGTGGAATCGCTCGAGCAGCACATTTCCAAGCTGATCTCGGACAACGAAGCCATCGTGGAGGTGGTGGAATTACCACTGCAGAAAAAGTATCACAAAATTACCGGCATCACGCGGGGGATTTCGGTCAACAGTACAGCCCCAGCGGCGGGTCAAGATTCGGCTAGCTCAAAACTGGCCAATGCCTTGCTTCAGAAGAGGAACAGCGAAGAGCTGCAGCAACAGCAGTTGCTAATGTTACAACAGCAGCAGCAGCAGCAGCAACAACAGCAGATGCAGCTCCAGCCGTACCCACCGAGTGAACCGACCAAGCCAAAAGCGATGGTCGCTCAGATTCCTTTCGTGCAGAATCACCACCCCGGTGCGGTAGTGATGCAGCAACCGCAGCAGCAACAACTTCCTCAGCCACAGATGATAGTTCGTCCCGTCAGTGCCAATGAACAGCAGCAAGAGCAGCTGCAGCAACCACTGCAACAAGTGCAATATTTGCAACCGTTAAACTTAAGTAAACCGGTTCCAAGTGAACCGGCGGCTGCCTCTGAAACTCAGGTAGCGACAGAACCTCCGCGAAAACGATCACCTAGCGAGGCGGCACCGTTTAGTCGGGAACAGTCGCCTTCGTCGTCGTCGTCTTCGGTGCAGCAACCGGCCCCCATCACCTTCCCGCAGCAGCAAGCTGGTCCACCCAGTCAGCCTGCGACACCATCTCAACAGTCGGTCACCGTGACGGATCACCCGCAGAACCCGGAACGCTCAATCATCAAGGATCTGCTGTTGAACTCCCGTGGATTCGGAGTGGTACAGAATCCGGAAAACGAAAACATCGAAAACCTGTTCACTTGCAAATCGTGCAACACCAGCTTCCGGGATGCGGAAATTCTAAAATATCACACCATCTGCTACTGTAGGGGAAACGGCGATCCGGACAGTGCCCCGCATAGTCCAGTGGGATCGCCATCGTCGCATTTCATGCGTTCCCGGTCGGCCAGCGATCGGTTCAATCCGACAAGCTTGAAAAACCTTGCCCGGGGGCTGTTGAATCCTCCTTCGAGGAATCCATCGTCGCTCTCCAAGCTGGCAAAGTCTCAGCTGAGGTTGCCCCGATCGAGGCCGGAGAATATCGCATTACCATCCAAAGAGAACTGCAGCAGTAGTTCACCAAGTAGCAGTACGGCGACTAGTTCGACGCCGGAAGTTCTGGTCACGCCAATCCTTGCGAGGATCGTCGATGTAGTACAAAATCCTCTGCCATCGCCGGGACCCTTACTGGGCAACACCCGATTGGTAGATTTTCAGAGTAGTAAAAGTGAGAGTTACGGCGGCAAAGCCGCCTCGGAATCGAACGTCGTTGTATCCCATGTGCCAAATGAAGAGACATCACTGCGGAGAAGGCCGATGGACAGTCACCCCGCAGAACTACGACGATTACAGCATCCCAATTATCAGATGTACGGTGGAGAAATGGAGATCCTGGAACGGCATCAACACATGCCTCCGCATCGGTATTCGTCCGGAGGGACCGTGACGAGGTTTTCGCCGGATGTTGACATCGAGATGCATGATTCCGGCATGGGAATTCGGACCAGCATGCATTCTGGTGGAACGATTCATCAGCTACCAAAAACGAACCAAAGCATGTCTCCCATTCCGATGAATCCGGACACACCGAAACTGATACTGACGATAACCCCAACACCAACCCTGACGGCGCCAAACTTCTTCCCCAATCAGCGGCAAGCGCCATCCGAAGGCAATATCACTAGCAGCAGTGCTTCCAATGCGCAACCTATCACTCACTTTCATTTCCCACCAATTAATCCAATTACGGCCTACAACCCATTGACTCTGCCGCAGGTGTCACCGGGTCAGGCGTCGCAAATCATGCACGGCGGTAAGTTGATACCATTTGTGCAGGGAATTCCCGGTCCCAATTCGATGATGACTCCGAACGAAACTCAGTCGCGAGGCCGTCCGCGAATGGCTCCCAGCCCTATCAGTATCAAGACGCCACAACCCTCGCCTCAGTTTCTCCCGGTCTACAAGCCAATGACCTCCTTCGATCCGGACGATGTCACCCGACACAAGAAACCGGTTTTGGCTGTGCCTCCCGTGAAAAATGGAATGTTCAAGGAAATCTGGTCTCCTGCCAAGCAGGAATACAATCCGGTTCCGAAAAAGAGTTTCAACTTCACCAGAATCGCCGATAACATCAGTCCTCGGAAGAAGGAGCTGGTGGAACCGGTGAAGAAGGAAGAGATCCGATATTTCAATTTTGAAAACCTCATCTCGAAGTCGGAAATCCTAATTAAGTCGAACACTCCCGTCGAAAGCGTGAAACCGGATCCGATCGAAACAAAACCGCTGGATGTGCAGCCACCTCCTCCGATGGCGCTGAAACCGAAATTCCTGAGACCAAACTCACTACCACTGAAACCGGGGACGTGGACTCCGAAACGGCACCACGGCATCACGCCAACCCAGAACACGATGCCGTTAATCTCGCCGGAAACCCCACGGCCTTCCAAGTCCTGTCGGGAACTGTACTTCAACGGTCATGCCTACACTAACATCGGGCTTAAATCCAGCACCAAACCCTTCTACTGCACCGTCAACAAAACCCAACCGTTTTATGTCCAAACGCAGAAGCAACTCTCCATGTACAGCAACTGGCAGGTCCATCCGGAGAACGATCCTCATCCCCTTGGATTCAAACCGATCCAGGTTATGGCCCTATACGATAGCAGTCAGCAACGGGACCACCGTTACTCGATCGCTACCAAACCCCTCGCGTTGACAGTGTCCAGTTCGAGTCCGGCAAACCAATCCATTATGAGCGCCGTTGAGGTCAAAACCAACTTTCCCAGCTATCCAATCACGCAGCTGTCCTCTCCGGCGCCGAAGCCCGGTGCATTTTATGTGTACCAGCCGGAAAAGTGTGCCGCCTCGAACGACAGCATGCCACCGAGAAGCGAATCCTCGGAACGAACCCTGTCCGGGGGATTCGAGAGCAATGAGGAGTACACGTACGTGCGGGGACGCGGCCGAGGAAAGTACGTTTGCAAGGAGTGCGGTATCCGGTGCAAGAAGCCATCGATGCTGAAGAAACACATCCGAACGCACACGGACGTTCGGCCGTACTCGTGCCAGCACTGTAGTTTTCAGTAAGTTTCGGTGTGGTTTGGTAGGAAATTCCTTGATGATCGCTAATTGCCGAATCTTTTACTTCTAGCTTCAAAACGAAAGGAAACCTAACGAAGCACATGAAATCGAAGAGTCACTTCAAGAAGTGCACCGAGCTGGGACTGAATCCCATTCCGACCAGTGTGGATGACGACGGGGCGGATATCGACATCGAAAACGATCAGCAGTCGATCTCCAGCGAGCGGACGTCGACGATTCCGGGTGACTCGGATAGCGGTTCGGAGAGCGACGGGGAGGAGAGTGACGATAGTGGTAAGTGGGGGATGATATTTCGATTGCATTTGGTAGTCGTTTGTGCCTTAGAATTGCTGAACTGCTCCCTAAATCTTCTATAAACGCTCAATTAATGCGTAAATACTCAGGTTTATTGCCCTTCCCTTTTTCTTAGTTAGAGAAGCGTTGTGACAGGCAAGCTTCTAAAAGACGCTTGCCCGTCGCTATGCTCCACTAACAAAAAAAAACGGGCATTTCCAAAAAAAAGGTACTTTGACAATGTCTTGTTCCCTTTTGCAGTCGAATTCCTTGGTAATTTCGGGGCACTATGACCAAAAATAGCACTGTTGCTAATTTCCCAATTCGTTCTCTCTTCTATTTCAGACGAATCAAAGAGCCGTCTCCCAGAGCACGAAGCTGCCCACTGTCTGCTGTCACTGTCGATGACACCCCCTACTGGATCTCAGGTCTCCAAGAGCTACCCCAGTCCAGTGCCTTTCGGCGGCAGTCACCACCTGGAGCGCACCGGCAGACTTCCCTACGGACCGAACATCTCCCCGGGTCTAGTGATACCGTCGCAGCAGCAGCAGCAGCAACAATCGCAGCTACCTCTCCCACAGCAGCTACCTCTCCCGCCACAACTCACCCAAAAGCAGCTGCTCCTGCAGACGGCTCAAGTGGACACAACCAGCCAACCCCCTCGGCGTGTCATCTCGTTCGGAAACACCCCCAAAGTCGAGTTCAACCTCCTGAAGCATGAACAGTACTACTCGGATCCGAACATTAGCCGGAAGAAGCGGGAGTACAATCCCTCCTACGATGATGATGACGGAGTCATGCCCATCGATCTGACGAAGAAGGCCAGAGAACCTCCCCCACCGGATGCAGCCCTCTATCGAATATACCACCAATTCCCCGGGCAGCAATCGCCTAGTGGAGTGCCAATTCAACCGCAGTCCGAGTACCCATCTCCAAATCGGTCACAGGTGATCGTCCGGGTATCGGACGTGGTCACTCCAATCACCGGTGCTGCCAATCTCCTAACGACACTAGTCTCCAACACGGACAAAATCCCACTCACCAACGCCTTGATCTCAAACGGCGGCAAGGAACTGGCCGACGACAATGTCTTCTTCCAGGAGTACATCAAACAACGAGCTCTTCGCGACAGCAAGATGAAGCTGAGTCAAATGAAGAGCATCAACAACAATCAGTATGAAGCGGAGGAGCCCCGACCTCCGCCGCCCGTGGAAGTCATCTCAAACAGTACCAAACCGGTAGATTCAATTCCATCAAAACCTATGCCGCCGAAAGTAAACGATAAACCCTATCGGATATTCAACGGCAAAAACGAGTTGCTGCCGAAGGCTGTGGTCGGTGAACCAGCCAATCGAATCGAAATACTGCCAATTGTGAGTGAACCAATCGGGATTCAGTTGGATCCGGTTGGACCGAAGGAAGTTCTGGTTGCGGAAAGTCCCGTCGCTGCCGTTGCACTTCCTGCTGTTGCAGAACCACCAAATACCTCACGAATGGAAACTCTGGCAGAAGTGGCTGCCGGAAGTCTCAAACTGGATGCCGCCGCCGGAACTTCAGCAGATCCGATGCGGTCCAGGAGTAACAGTTTGAAATTGTCCGAACCGGTTGCTTTGAAGCAATCAACGACGTCAACAGCACCCGTGGTAGCTTCCAGTAAGGAAAGTGCCAAAAGCGTTGCTTCCGAGTACCTGAAGCTGACCAAATCGGTGACGATGCGGAAGCGAGAGGATAGCGAAAGTGGAACGGCTTCGGATCAGGAATCGCTGGTGGAGAACAAGATGATACCGACACCGATCGTGGCGCCCATTGTGCCACCGGTGCTCGTAGTTCCATCGACGGCCAATCCAGCGACCGGAGAACTGGGAGGAATCAAAGCTCGGACGGTGGTCGTTGGAGAGGATGGGTTTAAAACAAACCCTAGCAATGAATTCTCATCGCTAAGCCCGTTTCAAGAGGACGGCGGTCGTCCGGTTTGCGAGGTGTGCCACAAAAAGTTCCACAAAATATCTCAACTGAAAATCCACATGAACATTCACTACATGGAGCGGAAGTTCCGGTGCGAACCATGCGGAACCAGCTTCCGGTCGCAGGGTTTGTTCCAAAAGCACGAAAGATCTGCCACCCATCGGAATAAAGTCTCGATGACGACTACATTCGGCATAGCAACGGACTCGAATCCGCGACCGTTCTACTGTAAAGATTGTGACGTCGGTTTTCGGATCCACGGTCACCTGGCGAAGCACCTGCGCTCGAAAATGCACGTCCTGAAGCTGGAATGCCTGGGTAAGCTTCCATTCGGAACGTACACCGAAATCGAACGGTCCGGAACGAATCTGACGGAGATCGATACGACGGACTGTGCTAACTCGTTGTCCAGTTTGAAGCGGTTGGCCGTTCGGCTGAACGTTAAGGATCCGGCGAACGTGCTTCCGGGGGGACCTGGATCGGATGCACCTCCGAGTGGGAACGAAACCGATAGCTGTGATGAAAATCCGTACGAAAATGACAACGAGTCCAACGGGGAGGGTGACAGTCCCGGTTCGAATGGGCCGAATCATAGGGGAGCGGGAACGGAGGAAGACGATGACGACGGTGAGGATGGCGAGATTAGTGGCGGCGATCAAGCGCCCCAGGGGAACAATAACAATCTGAAACGAAAACCTGATGACAGTGGTACAACGATGACGAATTGCGACGGTGGTGTTGAAATCAAACGGGCGCGATTTCATGGACCGCCACCAGTGGTGATGGAACTAAGAGGTCTACAGACACTGCAACATCAGCAAGGAAGTGTGGTCACAACATCGGGAAGTGCAACGGGGGAAACGTAGCGAAGGGCTTCGTATCCCGTAGTTTAGATAATAATTGTGAGTGCCAATAATGGGAAGGGCCGCGTTGTGCGACGGTGGTGCGAGTAACGGAGGTGCGAGGGTTGATGGTCGTTCATATTTCTGTGTGGTAAATTTTTGAGGAGAACTTGTGTGTGTGTTTTCTGTTAATTGTCAGCTGAGTTCGGATGTTAGTCTACTTGAGATTCGAGCAATTTCGGAAACACAAATGTGGAATTCTGTTGCACAAAAAGTGAGTTGGACCTCACTTGAACTGCGAATTGGACGCTCAGAAAGTTGGACGATGTACAACTTTTGCAATTGTTTCGATGTCGTGTTCTTCCATCAAATGGACTTTTTGTAAGATGTCCTTTAGAGTTTATCCGGACGACGTGTGGAATTTCTCCAAGTTGTCGACCTGTCCCAGAATGTTTCCTGAACTTCCTTAAGAAATGACCAAAATTTGCCTTTGTTCCTATGCTAATTCTCAAACTCAATTGAAAATATTTGACGAAAATGACTACAGCGACGACAGCAACTAGACTTCTAACAGGCAGCGATCGGTTGTTGAACTGACCTTAAACTGGCACAGGTATTATTTTACTAATTTTAGTCCACTGCCATATATCCAGTAAAAGCAAATGTCATGTTACTAAATTTACAGTAACAGTAGACAGTAGACGTTTCTTTGAAACAGTTTCTCCACGTTTCCTTCAATTGAACAAAATTGATCGATCGATCACGATCAATTGAATGATTGGAAAATCAGCAGCGCTGTCTATGAAAATTCTAGAGAATTCGAATCTGAGATTTTAGGGAATCCCAACCCGAGATTCTCGAACATGCTATCCCGGAATTCTGGAGAATTTTAATCCGGAATTTCGGAGAACCACAATCTGGATATCTGCTGCATCCCGATCCGAGATTCTAGAGAATCTCAATTGCGTTATTTGAGGGTATTGAGATAAATGAATATTAGTAATCTGAATAAAAAATGGAACCTAAATCCAAAATTTCATCAATTTTGGTACTCTGGAATTATTTTAAATAAGCGCGGTTTCATTGGCAAAAATCATCATCTTAGCGCCCCTCGGTGTGACTTTGTCAATTTGTTAGTTTAGGGTTAAACAGTAAGCTATTATTTTAATTTAAATCTTGATTTAAAAATCGAGATGAAAGTTTATGAGTTCGAAAAAAAAACTTCGCTGTGCTCAGAAAACAAAGCTCTTTCAGATAGTGTATAAAACCGATATTTTTTTTCAAAATTAAAGATTAAAGATTCAAGAGAATTGATTTTGATTCAACAGATATTCGAATTCTAATTGAAGATTAGAACAATTCGAATTCGAATATCTGTTGAATCAAAATCTGGGATTCATTAGAATCGAAATCATGTATTATGATTCAGATTCTGATATTCAAAATCTGGCATTTCTAAAAATTTCCCAGCCTGAAGTTCTGGAGAATCGCAGTCCGGGATTTTGGAGAATGTCAATCCGTAATTCTAAAAGCAATTAATTCCAGATTGTAGAGCACCATAATCTGAGATGCTAGAGGATTTTAATTTGGAATTTTCATAAATACCATTCTGGAATTTTGTAAAATCTCAATTACAGAAGACAGATCTTAATCTTAGTCCGGAATACTAGAAAATTCTCATCCGTGATTATAGCGAATCCCAATCTAGGTTTCTGGAAAATTAAAATCTGAGATTCTAGAGAACTCCAGCTATCCGAGGGGTGCGACTCTAACTACGATGCAGGAAATTTTTTGTTTAGATGAGTATAGCTGTACGCACGCTGAATAGATAGAAAGAAGATTGATGACGATCCTGAAGTTTTCCTGCAAAAAGATGATGCGCCATGCAAGTAGATGCGAGAAATGAAAGAAGATTTTGCGAACATTGATTCGATAGTGTGCGAATTGTTGAGCGTCTAGAATTGAGATTTAGGTGTGTCGCTCCCCTCGTGTTTATCCGGGCTTCTAGAGAATGCTAAACCGGAATTCTGGAAAATAACAATCTCTTATCTTAGAAAATCCTAATATTTGATTTTGGAGAACCTCAATATGGAATTCTAGCGAATCGCAATCCGGGATTTTGGAGAATTCTAATCCGGAATTCCTGAAAAAAAAACTAATCCCAGATTCTAGAGAAACCCAATTTGTGATTCAAGAATCCAATCCGCCATTATAGAGAATTTCAATTCAGGATGAGAGAAAATCCCAGACTGCGAACTTAGATAATCTTATCCCAATATTGGGAATCACAATCCGAGATTCTTCAGCATCCTGGATTAGCACTCTAGAGAATTCCATTTAAGAATTAGAGAGAATTACAATCTGGGATTTAAAAAAAAGCCCAGTCTGGGATTCTCAAAAAGTCCAGTTCAGGATTCAAGAGAATCCCAATCTAGGATTCTAGAGATAATATATTGACGCAATCCAGCATCAGATTCTGATAGAGCAAACTTCTTTTATCGAATGGTATTGTTAGTTGGCGTGGGTGTGTTTTGATTCTCGAGAAACTTTGCGTTTAAAGCCGTTGTTTGTAAATGGTCGATCCGCTCTTTTCAATTGTTGATGTAGAATTCTCTAGAATCTCGAAATCCAATTCCCCACATTACTGGATTAGGATTCATTAGAATGTTGGAATTTTCTAGAATCCTAGATTGGGATTCTCTCGAATTCTTAAATGTGATTCTCTAGAGCCCCAATCCAGGATTATGAAGAATCCCGGTTTGTGATTCTCAATAATCATTTCTAGAATCGAAGACAACATATCAAGAAGACTGGCAACTTTGCCTGAATCCGAGCGACAGACACAATAGCGCTGTGCACGAGTGAAGGTGAAGGCAACGCATAGAAAAATGAGCAAATGCACAAACCTTTCTTCTGAGGATGGAACCTTTGCTATCCAATTCGTTCGGAGCATATACCTTTGAGCGGCAGATGACGCGATTGTACCTGTCTCATAGCAGCCGTACGAGAAAATGGAAGAGTTGCCAGCCTTCTTGATATGTTGTCTTCGCTAGAATTCTTCTTTCACCTTCTTTCGGGTGTAATACGAATTACCAGTCACCTGTCTGATTTGGGATATGAGCCTGGACTGTTGGGGTGTGCTGCTGCCGTTGTCTTCGTTCAATCTCACTGGGCCACTGTTAGGCTGTTTCACTTAGATTTGACACTTCGAAAATAAATTAAGATGTTCGAAAATCCCTCTGTTGTTGATTGGCTGATTTTCGAGAAAGCGTCTGTCAAAATTGATTCCTTGTCTGTCAGAAATAAGTCTGCTGGAATAGCAGGTTAATTTAAAAAAAAAAGTCCATCTGTCAAATTTAAGTAAAAATTCACCAAATGGAACACAGCCTTAGTCTCATGTACGAGGCTGGTTGATAAGGATGCAGTCACAACTCATGTTTTCGATATTTACCTTGCAGAACAAGCAATTCACATCGCATTGAAATGCAAAACACTTCCAATCCATCTGTTAACAGTAGTGTGATTCAATGAGCAATACACTTAAATTGATAGACAACAAGCGCATCGCAACAAGTGATGCGAGCTTTCCATGCGCACTCACACTATCATAGCATGCTGCCTATCTTAACTGCAGGCAGAAGATACCTTCTACCGCTAGGTGCGGTAGTGTTTTCCAATGAACATTGGAGCAGCTTTTTGAATCGAAGTTCCTTTCCTGATTTTCACTTGAATTTGACACTTCTAAAATAAATAGGGGAATTTACGTATTCTCGTCAATCTAAGCAGCGTCTGCACTTCTACTAGCATTTTCTCAGCGTCACGCACATATATGATGTGTCTGTTTGTTTACATTCATCTGCTGCTTGCTTCTCTATCCATTCCAATCGACAGAATTTTTCAAAACGTTTTGAAAGCGTTTTTACAACGCTCCAAACTTCTCAGGTGAGTGTGACTATTGTCGGCAGTCTCTTTTTCTTCGGCAACCTTCCCATTAGAACTGCGTGTTAACCAGCTGTTCTATTATCGGCAACTCGAAATCAACCTCATTTTGTAGTGCGTATGCTTTATTTGAAGAAAAATGTAGCATTACTGGATTGCTCGATCGTTCAAATATAATCAGATTGAAGCTGAAAGGCTAAACAATCGTTTGGACACATTCAGGGAAGTGCGTTGATGGGAAAACATAGTGAAATTAACGTTTAAATTTTGGTTGCCGAAAATAGTCAATGGGTACCGAAGCCAACATTTACCCTAATTATGTTCGAAAATCTCTCTGTTGTTTATCGTCCGATTCTCGAAAAGGTGCCTGTCAAAAGTAAGTCTGGTAGAATAGCAGGTTTATTCGAAAATTTTCCATCTGTCAAATTGAAGCGCAAATTCACCAAATGGAACACAGCCTTAATATACAGTCAAGATTCCTATAGTACGGATTCGTTCTAGCCGGATTCCTATAGTACGGTCGATCCGGCATTAACGAATACACGTAGCATATGGGATTTGAGCTTATTGGGACCAAACACTGATTGTACGGCAATTTGAAGAGATAACTTCCTGATGTCTTTGGAGAAGTTGTTAGGCAGATAGTTGGTCACCTTTTGGGAATAGTCAGTTCTCGGTAAGTCACAAGACTGGTCCGGTGGAAGATCCGGAACATCCGTAAAAGAAGTCAATTCATGAAACTGATCCTAGAGCTCCACGGTTTTTTCGAAACCACTCATGGACGTCATATCAATATGAATTCGGAGTTGTGACTAGAAAATTGATGCTGGGGACTACGGGATGGTTCATTGAAAGATTCGGAACATCCGTAAAAGTGGTCAATTCATGAAACAGATTCTAGAGCTCTGCGTTTTTTTCGAAACCACTCAAAGACGTCTTATCACAATGAAATCAGAGTTTTGACCAGAAAATGGACGCTGGGAACTATGCAATGGTCCTCCGGAAGATTGTTACAAGTTCTCCAAATAGGATGAGAAACTTGTCTTGCTCCAATCAGATTTCTACTACGATGGCCCCTGGGCTATAGCAAGCTATCGTGGTAGAAACCTGATTGGAGCAAGACAAGTATCTCATCC